GTTATTTTCCAAAGAGCATTAAGACATATTACATATTTATTAGGCTGCTAATACAGCCTATTTGCAGAAAGGCTCATTAATTTCTTGGAATAACCAGAGAGGGCCTTTTCAAGTTTGGGAAAAATGTTAGATTCATTCAAAACCAACTTACCTGCCACAAAAACCCTTAAAGAGAGCTTTTAGTATTGAAGATGCTGAATTACCTCTCACTTGAGCTAAGCAAAACAAAACAATGAATCCATTATAAGGTACTTGTGAGACTTAGTCTTTGAGATGACTCCCAACTACATCCCCCTTTTCCTTTCTCTATTTCTTTTAAATTTTCCTAATTATTTTGGCCACAAATCTCATCAACTTTCTCATTCAAGAAACCTTTTTTTAGTATTTATGTGGTAGTCACTAGAAGTTGACAATGCAAAGTAGAATAAAATCTATCTGGTCATTATTCTCAAAGAGTTCACAATATGGTGATGGCACTAGAGACATAAACAAATAAATTATAATTTAATGTAATAAATTTCTCAAAGAAGTTACAAAGTATCAGAGGAGTAAATAAAAGATTATTGGGGGAGTCTGGAAAAGGAAAAGAGGGACACTTATGTTGGATCTTGAAGGATGAGTTCGCTGGGTCAAACAAAGGGGAGTACAAAGGGCCTTTTACTCCAGCTTCTTTCTTCCCCACTAATTCTCTCACAGTCACCATCCTTTTATTTCACACTCCCACTTGCCCAGTACAGGCTAAGTATCCCTTATCCAAAATGCTTCGGATCAGAAGTGTTTTAGATTTTGGAATATTTGTATATAAATAATGTTTTCTTGGGGATGAAATCCAAGTCTAAATATGAAATTCATTTATGTTTCATATATACCTCACACACATAGCCTGATGGTAATTTTATACAATACTTTAAGTAATTTTGCGTGTGAAACAAAGTGTTGACTATAGCTCACCACATGAGGTCAGGGGTGGAATTTTCCACTTGTGGCGTCAAGTCAGCACTCAAAAAATTTCGGATTTTGGATTTTTGGATTAGGAGGTCCTCAACCTATATAAGCCCTCATAACCCCTTCTGAGGTGCGCTTAGTCTCTCTGTTTCTGACCCATCCTACACCATAGATGAATCTTCTCAAATAAATTATCTCTGATCCGGTGAAAAACCTTATGGCGTCCTACTGACTCCTGAATTCTATACATCCTGAATTCTTCAATCAAGGACTCCACAATATGGCCATATACTACTTTTCCAGACTTTTCTTCCATTACTATTCTACCTGAGGTGGCTATCCTTTCAAAATTATTATTTACTTATTCACTATTTTCTTAATATACCCCATGCATTGTTCTGTTTCTTTATCTAAACAATGCTGTCCATTATAACTTGTGGCAATATTACTATTGAGCATCTGGAATGTGGCTAGTACAACTAAGGGACTGAATTTTAAATTGTATTTAATTTTAACTAATTTAAATAGAAATAGTCACATGTGCTAGTGATTCCCATATTTATAGCACAGGTCTAAAATGTTCATTCTACCTATAAAAATTTTTACTATCCTTTAAGGCCATTTTATTTCTTTTCTTTTTTTTAAGAGACAAGGCCTCATTATGCTGCCCAGGCTGGAGTGCTGTGGCTCTTCACAGGCACACTACAGCCTCAGAACTTCTGGACACAAGCAATCCTCCTACCTCAGTCTCCTTAGTAGCTGGGACTACAGGCGCCTGCCACTATGCCCACTTTAAGGCCATTTTAACTATCACCTCATTATAAAGCCATTATTGATTCCATCAATTCGAGATATCTCCCCTTTTACATTTTTCATGTACTTGCTATATTCTGATTTGGGTATATACATTTGGGTACTTCTTTTTTCTCACTCTTCCTTCCTGTTCCCAAATATATTTATCTCCCCCTATCCAACAGTATGTAGCTTTTTAAGAACAGGGTTCATGTCTTCCTCACTTGTGTGCCTCCTATAATTCCTGGAAGATAACCTTGTAAATAAAGGGGTACCTAGTAATTAATAGATTTTGAAAGACTAATAGATAAACCCGAACCAGTTCTTACTTGGAACAAAGGGACTTGGGTTTATTCTGCTTAGTTCAAGTTGGAGCAGATGATCTTAATAATTTAACAGTCTTGGATCACCAAACTGGCCATTGTTTTAGATAAGCCCCATGCAGAAGAACTCATTAAAAAAAAAAACAAAAAACTTTAAAGTTTACCATGAGGATCCCCAAAACATTCTGATAACATCTTAATCCAATTGTTACCTTACTTCCATGAATAGATGGTACATAAACAACAAGATGAGACAAAGATGGATAGTCTTGAAGTCTTAACATCATAGACTAAAAAAAAGATAAAGATAAAAAGCTACTTTTATTTCTTAGAACACATAGCACTTAACGCAGGTTAAAAGAAGAATAAACTACAAACACATTTCCTATTTAATTAGTTATTTAAAAAAGCAGATTTCAAATTTATGTTCTGTACTTCATAAAATGCTCATGTTTACATTTCCAGGTCAATAATCCTGCTAAAGGTCAAATTCCCAATAATTATGTTAAATATGGACTGCCAAAAATATTCCTTGAAATATCCCTTCATGTAAAATAAATGTCACTTAAACATTAAATTTAATTATTTTATATAATTATTTCCAGATTTGATGTCTTTCTTTTTATAATTTGGCTATTTGTTACATATAGCATTACAGTGTTATTTCCACATTTATTTTGGTAGCATATAACAAAGAGCATTCAACAGCTGATAAATGAATGGATGCTAAATATGATGAAAGAGTTAAAATTTAATCTCATATGGTTCTGATCTAGCCTGAGTAGTAAAGAGTTGCTGGCTAATGAGATATATTAACATCATCCCCTGGGATTTATTTAGTAAATGACAAAGACACAATACAGCTAAATAATGCACCTTACCAAGTGAACAACTATTCTTTCTCAAAATGAAGACCAGATCCTAGAGTCCATATTTTGAAGAATGAATTGGTAGAAGACTGGTCAATTGAATGAAAAGCCAAGCCAAAAAATGAGTTGTTAATTCAGTTTTGTTCTAGAAATAGATGTGGGGTGGGAGTAGTTATATGTTGTAACAATATGCTTGCATTAAGAACTTTCTATGGACATTAGCTTTCCCGGTCTTCGCTGGAAGCAAGTAGGACAGAGGTGCTGAAGTGAAAGAACCATTAATGAGTGGTCCTTTAACAACCTGACCAGATTCATGTGGGAGTGGTGGCAGTGCTTATTAAAGATAAACTCCTGGGTTCGCCCCAACTTAGCAAAGTCTCTGCAACAGACTCATACGTTCTAATGTAAATTAAAGGACCACATAAGTCACAACTACAGGCAGCTGAGACCCACCAGACAAATGGTAGATAGTACGTAAGATAAATTAATTAGGGAGAACTTGGATATTCTGTGTAGTTATCTACTTTAATAAGTTCTCAATATTTATTCTCAATGGCAAAGTGTTGAATTTTTTATTAATAGGTCAGTCAGTAGAAATGTCTAAAAGTGATAAAATTCTCATTTGACATTACTTTTCTTGAGATGATACTAACATGAATAAAACCTATAAAAGTTTTTCACTTTAATCATTCCCTTCAATTTTCATGGCCAAATAATTTTGTGTGTTGTTTACATAGATGGCTAACACATATTATATAAAATTTTCATTTTCATTATAATGGAAAAGCTTATTTATATTTAATAATTACAATTCTCTTAAACTGAGAACACCTAAGATTGCAGAATGTTATATAATCCTTGTTTTCTAACTTCTCTCTTTCAGCATTCACCATAAAAAGCAAGCAGCTTAAATAGCTTATTCTTCTGCTATTTTAGCCAGCTGTTTCATATATTCAGCGCAAACAACATAGGGACCTAGAGCTTGATGAAGACATTGTTTAATCTTTGGAGACTAAAAAAAATAATCTAAGGATTTTATACCTGTTAAAACACGGGAGCAAAGTACATTTTATCAGATTTTTAATCATTTATTTCTTCCTAACTCTTAAATTATAGGCTGGAAAGAATATCCAAATTATTATAGAAATTCAAGAAAATATTTAATTTACCTTATGAATTATTGCTCAGTAAGCATATTCTAATACTTTTGTTATTTGTTTTACTTAGGATGGAGCCAGTGAGAGACCTTAAAAATATTCATGCGTCAACTTACTTTACTATGATATTTGTTTGATAAATAAAAAGCCATATGAATGAATGTGCACAATATAAGACGGACCAAAGTAACAGGAAAAAAACTGCAACCATTCCAAAGTCAAGTTAAGTGACCTGCAATTACTCCTTCTGTCACCATTCCTCTCTGTCAGTCTAAGTTTCTCTGTGTTAGTTTAGTATAGAGTTGACAATGTGTACAAATATAAATATTCATGAGCAAAATTAACTAACTTAATTAAGTTAATTGGGAGATGACTGGGACTGACCAGATGATTTCACTTTCAAGTAAATGAGTCTAGGATTCGTTATAAAAATGTATTTTATTTTTAAAGTATAGATTTACTTGAAGAGTAAAAACTATCAACGCTGGCATAAGATTACCAGATATAATAAATATAATTTGGAAATTAGAACAGATATTTTCATCAAATTTTAGAATTATTTTGCTTTTCAACAATAGATTTTGAGACTATGCAAAACAGTCTTTTATAAATGACTTGCTGATCTACCAAAGTTGTGTAAGCAAATCACTAACAATTATTAAACAAACCCCTGCTGTGATTTATCACCCTGAAAGTACTAGATAAAGTTGTTATTCAAAGTGCTTGACCACAGAGTGATGTTGAAGTTCATATGCAAAATTACTTCATGTCTCTTTGAGGTGTCCACTTCCAACTGCAGGCTCTGCCTCTCCATATGAATTCTCAGTATACTATTCACCTTATATTTTAAGACAGACCATTCGAACATACCCTCAAATTTAACTTTAAAAATCCATCCAGCTCTTCTGGTATGATGCTGTACCATAGACATTTAGAGGATTGTTAATTTATAGTTTTTGATCTCTGAAAGTAAAAAACAACCCACTAATTGCATGTTATTCCCTATCAAATGTATACTTAGAGAAAATATTTCTAAAATGTAGGTTAGCAAATCTCAAGTTTATTTAACACCTAGATAAATTAATAAAAGAGCATATTCTATAATGTCTACAGGCTCAAGTATTTTTTCACCTGAGTATTAAAATTTTAAAGCAATAATTTACCTTAATTGTTGGCAGCAGTTCAGCTTTCCATGATAAATCAACCCCTTGCCGGCTTTGAAATAAATATGAAAATATAATTAAAGTATTGAAATATTATAAATTATAAATAAGCTTCTGGGGAAAAAGAAACCATCTACAGACCGAGTAGAGAGGGTTATAAATGAACCAAAGTCTAATAAATCTAATCCTAAACACTCTGTCCACACAATTCCCTTGGCAATGAAAAAATTTTCCTAACTACTTTCAATGTTTGTAAAAATTACTAGTATATTCCTTTCCTTTCCTTTTCATTCTAAATGCAATACTACAATTTAATATACAATAGTATCAAAATTAGTGTAAGAATGTATGAAGCTATTCTAGAAGTGTGATTTCTGAGTATTGTTTGAAAAAAATGAACAAGGGAGGACGATGGGTTCAAAGGACTTACCACATAGAAGTGCTGTTTATGCAGCCAAAAATCCAACTATTTGAATCCTGTTTATTAATAACAAAACACACTAAATGTAGAAGATAATCATATAAACAAGCATCTTCAATACTTTACTGTTAAGAGATAAGATGAGTAGCAGCAAGGGAAACATAAAATAGCAGCTTGTTATTGAGAAACATATCCAAGATGGTCTCAAAAGTCAAATAAATCAAGGACAGAACAACAAAAAAAAGTCTAATGTCAACATAGATTGGTAAGAAGTTAACCCAGAGCAGCAGTATGAGAAAGAGTGAACTGATGGGTATCTTTCTACAGCATATTGCCTAACCGTTTCTAGTTGTTGAACCAAAACTTGCAAAGAGTTCAGTAATGTTCATACTTTAATTAGATAGTTACACAGTAAGTAACCTATATTTTAACAAATAGAATAATGAACAACCAGAAGTAGACTTTTATACAAATAAAATACAGTGCCAAGCAATTAAAAATAACAATTAACCTATGTACAATTTTTTATTTTATCACTTGAGGTCCCATTTCATAGCCAGCAAATAACTTCTATACAACCAAGAATGTGTTTGAACTGAAGCACAATTCCAAGGGCTCAAAACTAAAGCTAGTTATTATTAATACTTCATCAGCACAGTATAGGAATGCTACAGAGATGACTATTATTTTAACAACATTCTATATTCAGTCTTAGTCATTTAAGAGCAGTGCAACCTAAGATCTGCACTCCAACTTTTAAGGAAGTAAGAACAATGTTCCAAGATATGATGATACAACTACTGAAATCCTACCAGGACGTAATAGAATGAGAAGCACTGCTCAGATAGCTACATAAATTTGTCCTTAGAATTACAGGTAGGGCAACGAAGAAATCAATCCTTTTATTTAACTAATATTTATAAGTCCATTCTAGGGCCAAGGAATTATATGGCAAGCCTTCAGGCAAAATGATCAGGCACACATAGTCTCTGTTCTCCTTTAGCTTAAATAAAATTTTAAGAAATTTTCCAAGAATACAGAAAAGGAAGTTGATAGAAAATAAACAAAAAAAAATATGATATTTCCCTGCAGGCAAAATACTTCTATGTTCTGTATCAGTTACCTATGCTTCCCAGAAAGTGACATTATAAATAAACCAAGACAACAAAACAGATCTACATAGCCCAGACGAAGAAAAGCTAGCAGCCTCTAAAGATCCAACCCACTGCTGTAATGGGTTTTTGTAGCTACTAATGGGACCTATCCTCAAAGGTAGCCCTCATTATGAAAACTGTCAATATCCCCCACTACTTACTTCAGTATATAGGGAATTCTGACTCAGTCATCAACGGACTGAACAGATAAAATATTACTCAAGCCCACTATAATACACCATGCTGATATAACCTATCTGTCAAAAGAACAATTTCAATTTATCTACAAAACACTCCTAACTCAAATAATTACAAGAATTATATCCAAAGCCTTAGAAGAAGAATTGTGGACTAACTCCTAAACTATACCAGAAAAAAAAAATGCTACTGATCAAAAATTTATAGTTGTCAAAAAATTCTACTTAGAGTAAAAAGTAATGTCTTTAACAGCTAATAAAATCATTAGGTAAAAGATTTATGAATTCTATAATGAATGGATCATGCTGATACCACTTAGCCCACTGATGCCTGTATGTCACTAAAAGTGGGAAAACCAGATATTATGTACCTCCTGATATGATGAAATAGGAGGTACACAGCTATATTTATAAAACATTATTACCACAAAAAATTAATCTAAATCTAATCAAGATTCTAGCTCTAACTACCAGTTTACAGAAAACAGAGGGGACAGAAATATATATTAAAAGATACCACAAGAATACAATCAGCTAAACCCAGAATGTGGGAAATTCTGTAGAGCATATAACGTATTTTTTTGAACAATAGTGTCATGGGAGGAAAAGGGGATGGGGTTATTATAAAAGAGACTTATGATCCATGAACCAGAGGCAATGCATACACTTTGTTTGGGTCCTGATTCAAACAAACTTAAAATTTAAGTGAACTGGGGAAAACTAAACATGGACTGGGTTATTAAGGAATTAGTATTAATTTGGTTAGCTGAAATAATAGTATTATAGTAATGTGTAAACTCCTTATCTGATAGAAAAACATATTGAGATATTTATAGATGAAATGATAAGATGCCTGGAATTTACTTTAAAGATGCTTCAGTCAACAAGGTAGAAACAGCCAGAACAGTGGCTCATGCCTGTACACTTTTGGGAGGCTGGGGCAGGAAGATCACTTGAGGCCAGGAGTTTGAGACCAACCTGGGCAACTCAGCGAGACCCAGTCTCTACAAAAAAATTTTTTTTAATTAGCTGGGCATGGTGGGGCACACCTATAATTTCAGCTACTCAGGAGGCTGAGGCAGAAGGATCACTTGAGCCCAGAAGTCCAAGGCTGTAGTGAGCTATGACTGCATCACTGCACTCCACCCTGGGCAACAGAGTAAGACCCTATTTCTA